TTATTGATAAGGACTGCCTCGTCTGAGAGAAAACAAGAAGGTGGTCGATGAGTTCAGAGCATGGAGTTATTGGAGAAAAGAAATGGATAATAATGCTAGCTTGGCGGGGGCTGGAGGGGGTGGAGTGCTTGATCTTAAGGAGAGAATTCCTTAGAGCCCTTTCAGTCTCATTACTTTCCTACATCATAAATACAATAAGATGAATTATAAGTACAGGTTCTAGCCTTTCAGCAGGCAGTTTGCATTTCCATGCAGAGGGAAAGGTGGTGAGGTTGAGCGGCGTAGTGACATTTCACTGGACTGAAAAGCATTGTGTACACACTGTGACATATGTAGTGTATCCACATAGTGAGTTCTTCTCACAACCAAAATAACACAAGCCCCGTTGCTGTTGAGGAGATCTGAGTCATCGTGGCTCTGTAGGACAGAGTAGGACGGTCCCCATGTGTTTCTGAGGTTGTACATCTCTACAGGAGTAGACAGTCTCATCTTCTGCAGAACCGCGGCGAGCTTGAACGCTCTTCTGGAGGTGAGCAGCCCAGTGTGCAGCCCTGAATGTGGCCACTGTGAGTCAGCAGGAGATGGCAGTGGGCTTGGATTTTGGTTGTGTGGCACAGATGGTGAAGCGCTTGGCTGCTAGCTGCAAGGTTGGAGTCCTTGAGAGATCTCTCAGAAGAAAGGCCCAGAGACCTACTTCCCCCAACCAGCCATTGAATGAGTGCCCTGTGTAGCAAGGTTCTACTGCAGCACATAGCAAGGCAGCCGTGAGCCACAATCAACTCAACCCAAGTGTTTTGTTTGTCGTGGTTTTTTTAAAATAAAATATTGAAATGACTACAATTTTTTAATAAAAAAAATTGTTGATGACTGCATTGAGCCAAATTTTGTCTCATGATGGCTGTGTGTGACAGGGCAGAATGCCTCATCATGTGTTCTGGATGGTGATATTGACGGAAGCCGATTGCCAATTCTTTCAAGAACAGAGTCACTGATTGGCCTTAAACCGCCAACCTGTTGCTTAAGGTTGTGCCCCCAGGGACCCTTGTACCACCAACTACACTTGGATGGACTAGAGTGGTTTCAATCAGATGAGGTTATTGCTAACGTGGCTTTTAAACTAAAGAACGAGAGGATGGAAGAAAAAGTTTGCTGAGACTATTTGTCATATACAATTTTAGCATATTTAAGTTAGTATTTTCAAACTTGATTAAGCAAGGCTTTTCATACAATTCATATGCTAATTTTATTTAATTCCCATGTGTTACGCCCGAATGGCTTTTTTGACACATACTGTAAATGGTCAAGTTCCCAAAATGATTTTTCAGGGCCATCAGCCTGATTTCTGGACTGTCTAATACAAAACTGCTTTTAATTAATGCTCTGTCATTTAATCTTTTAAGATACAGACAACTCCCATTAATATTTTTCAGGTATTATAGATTACAAATGGTTGCTGAATATGTGTGCATGTGTATAATGAGATTAGAAAAGAAAACTAGTGCAAAGATTTTACTTTAAATAAGTCAGTGCCACCATTTATACATGTGCACTTACATGTGTATGCAGATAGATATGAGAAAGAGAAACAGTATTATAAAGCAAATGTGGCAAAGTGTTAACAATGAAAAAAATTGGTTATGTTGAATTCTGTACACCTTGTTTTTCTGTAAGACTGAAATAATCTCACACAAAATAATTAAAATATGTTCACATTGATGATGAAAAACAAATGCAGTAATCTTTTAGAGGATAATTTTTCAGAAGACATGAAAAACCTTTATATAAATGTACACATACATTCTTTGAAGTAGTAATTCTACTTCTAGAAATCTAGCTTTCAGAAATAATCATTGATACATGAAAAGATATATGCATAAGTATACTCATTAGAGTATTATTTATTATAGCAAGATCTTGGAAATATGCTAAACAATACAATAGAGGAATGGCTATGTAATTAAGGTACACCCATGTGGATTAGGCTGCGTTCTCTCGAGAAGCAAAACCAGTATTCCGTATAAAGAAAGAAATTTATATCAAGAAGGTGGCTCCCACACTTGTAAAAGCAGTCAGGTCCAGTCCAGTAAAAGTTCCTAGGTCAGATGTTAACCTGGAGGCTTGTCCAGACTTGTGGAGCTGCTGGGGCTGAGGAACAGGAGTAAGGAGCCCCACAGGCTGGTGGACACAGAGGTAAATGAATCCGAGGTCAGCATGTCAGGCTTGTGGGTGCAGAATTGGATGAATCAACGGTTGACAGGCAACATGGCAGGCCACTAATACTCCTCAGCATCAGTGGGTCCCTATGTCAGATGCAGCATCTGGACCAGCAAGAAGTGAGCTTAGCTTCCCCACCATGTCACCTTAGACTAAGAGTAGGCCACACTCCCGATGAAGCTTCCAGCAAGACTGTGATCAGGTTAAGGAACAGATTCCTCCCTGTTCTCCCTGCAACTGCTTGGCTGCTCAGAGAAGTTCCTATCATGCAGTTGATAGATTGTGTTAGATGACATCAATTCTGGCCCAGCCAAGTTGATACAAAACCCAACTATTACATCATGTGTCTATATGAGCACTACTATACCGAACCAAGACTAAACGCACTACAGCTGAGTGAATCCCAACAGAAAAGGACCCGATAGGATAAGTAGCACTGCCCATAGGGTCGTTATGGGAGATGTTCTAAGAATAATGTGACAGAAAACTTTCTGCTGTTTTGAAAACAAGGCATACACTATTAGTTGAAAACACTCTAGTTATGAAGTGATACAGATTCGTGTAGTGCTGACACTCTGGGCTGTGAGCCGCATGGTCGGCAGTTCACAACCACCGTCCACTGAGGAAAATGACGGGCTTTCTACTGTGGTAAACAGTTACAGCCTGGAAACCCACAGGGGGCTTGCTCTGAGTCGGCATGGACTCAATGGCAGCGCGCTGGCTTATTTCTGGTTGCCATTTTCATAAAATGTTTTGCTGTGAAGACGATTTGTAAGAGGCACACATGAAACTATGAGTAGGAAGCATTTTGTTCCCGAGTAGTGCGGTGGTAGTGATTTCACTTATTGGAGTGAGGCGGTGCGTCCTGCCTTTTGTCATGGATCATACAATACTTTTGAATGAAACACAAAGAAGTATGGGGGATAAAGTTCTCAGCCCAAATTATTAGATAGTGGACTGTGAAGCATGGTTGGAACATAGCCAAAGCCCAATGTCACAGTAGTACTTTTAAAAATGAAATAACAATGATCACTCATGGGTGATCATGAATAAGAATGATGTTAGAATAGTTCAGTGGTTATGTAAATGCATCTGGTTTTAAGTTCGTTTTCTTAAATGATATTCTGAAAGCCACCTGCATGAAAGAAAAAAAAATTACCTGGGGTGGTTGTAAAAAACCCAAACCGTTGAATAAAAGTTTCTGGGATTGGGGTCAGTAAATTTGCACGTATATAAATATCCTAAGTGGCTTGAATCTATATAAAGTTTAAAAACTTATGGTCTTCCCTTAATCTGTAGTCTAATAACATACAGTTCTGTGCTCACCTGTAGGATTGCTTTAAGTCTGAAACAACTTGATAGCATGGGGTGTGCTTTAGTTTTTTCATTGGAGCTAAGTCAAAATTGAAACAGATTTGGTTATTTATTCTATAAAAGTGTCACTTTTACATACTCGTTCTTTTAAAATGCAATTCTACTTCTGAAAAAATATGCCACATACTTCAAATGGCACGCTTGTTTAAATGGTTCAGGCAGGACTGGGGACAGTGAGGAGCCCTAGTCCTTGTGCCGTCAGAGGAGGACTTTGTGTTCCGTGTGCTGTGATGGGGACATGTAGATAAACCTTACTGGTGACGGGGAGTGACCCTGAAACCACGGAGACAAGCTCATGGTCTCTAACCGAGTATGGACTAAAGATGAGCCAACCTTCCCCGTCTTTGGGGGAAAGATATTCATTTACAGGTTTCTGGGCAAGGCAAATGGTAAGGTTCATGTCTGTTAGCCAACAGTGGTGAATCAAAGACTACTAAAGGTACCTCAGCAGAAAGGACTGGCGGTCCGTTTCTGAGAAGTCACAGCCATTCAAGACTGGATGGGAGTGATGGCTCTGCAAAGCAAGGCTGTTGAGTCAGCATCAACTCAATAGCTGCTGATTTGGTTTTGATTATAGCCATTTGTTGGTTGTTGTTTTTTTAATCATTGTATTAGGGGTTCATACAACTCTTATCACAACCCATACACACATCAATTGTGTAAAGTGCATTTGTACATTCATTGCCCTCATCATTCTCAAAACATTTGCTCTCCACTTAAGGCCCCCCCCCATTATGTCCTCATTTTTCCCCTCCCTCCCTGCTCCCTCCTCCCTCATGAGCCTTTGATAATTTTTTTTTAAACATTTTATTAGGGGCTCATACAATCCATACACACATCAATTGTGTAAAGTACATTTGTACATCATTCTCAAAACCTTTTCTCTCCAATTAAACCCCCGACATTAGGTCCTCATTTTCCTCCTCCCTCCCCACTCCCCCCTCCCTCACGAGCCCCCGATAGTTTACAAATTGGTATTTTGTCATATCTTGCCCTGTCCGACGTCTCCCCTCACCCACCCCTCGGCTGTCTGTCCCTCAGGGAGGAGGTCACACACAATGAGCCCTTTACAATTTATCAATTGTTATTTTGTCATATCTTGCCCTCCGACATCTCCCTTCACCCACTTTTCAGTTGTCCGTCCCCCAGGGAGGAGGTCACATATAGTTCCTTGTAATCGATCCCTCTTTCCTACCCAAATGGCAAACCTGTCCTTTCCAGAGAGAAAGGAGCCCAACTCTTTGAAACGCACCTAGAGTGATTCATGCCAGTGGAACGGTTTGCTCTCAGATAGAGCCCCCACCCCCATCAAAGTAGCAATGGTAAAAGAGCATTTCGCTCAGAGCCTTTCTAAATGTTGTGTGAAAATATTCTCTGTATTATGGCTGCCTTTACTCTCTTTCTGATTTCAGACTTTGTTGATGGACCGATACACCACAAGGCCTTACTGATATCTGTGACTGTCTGCAGTTTGCTCCTGGTCTTTATCATTTTATTCTGTTACTTCAGGTGGGTTTGTGGCCAGTAGATGTCGACTTTTGAGTTTGGGGTATCATCTTTATATGTTCCACCTGCTTTTGCCTGATGTTTTTCACTACAGCTTTCTTTAACCTAATTAGATCTTTTATTTTGTGGAAAACATGAGTTACTATTGATAAATATTTGTTCCAGTGAAGACGTAAACACATATGTATCTCATTTCTGCCTCAGACATAAAAACCACACAGATAAATTTCATCCCTAGGGAACTTCAGTTAGGAAATTCAGAGACTGGTTGCAGCTGAGGTTAGATTTTAAGCAGAGGAGTACCTATTTTGAACTTCACTTTCATGAATTCTTTCTTCCTGTGTTAAATATTCCCTGTTAGCATTGAAAGATGGTGGAGGTGATGCCCTGAACAGAGACCAGAAGTCACCCTGAGAGACATGTGCTTGGTTATTTGGGGGAAGATTACTTACAGAGATGCCACATTGTGTGTCACCCTGGGGCGGCCAACAGGGTCAGGGTTTGGTCCACACACTGCCCCCCAGCAAGCAAGGGTTTGATATGTTTAAGGCAGGGAAGAGGAGTGGAGTTTGTGAGGCAGGCCCCCAGGGCAGGCGTGCTGACTGCAGGCTCTCTGGGAACTGCTCCTGCAAGGCCGGTCTAATTGCTGCCTAGAAACCACCTTGGTGGTAAGGTGCTGGAGGGGTGGGGAGGCCATGGACGGACATGCGGGAATGTTGGTTTACTCTTCAGATGGTAAAGATTATTTGTAGATAAATTATGGTTAAATCATACATTTTCACTGTTAAGTGGGTTCGTTACAAACTATTTGTGGCACTTGAGAACATCTTTTCTAGTTTGTGACATACAGTCTTTGAAACGTGCGTCTGATGCCTTTGGAACAATTTAATATTTATTTGTATTTCTAAGACGACTCTTCAAAAGGGCGATGGATTGATTCAGATAAGTTCTTTTCTAATGGAAGATATTGAAAATCATGGAAAATAGTTTCTAAAGCCTAATTTTATTTTATCTATGTGTCTGGTGATAATTTCTTTTAGAAGAACTAACACTAGACTAGTCCCAAGGAGTTGGAGATTAAAGATTTCCAAAATGTCGAACTCTTCCAAGATTCAATTCTGCTCCATTTCCCCCCACCCTCCACCCCCATCCCCACTCCTCCCCGGAATGTATGCCCTCACGTCCCTGGGCTCTGTGATTCCCTGCAACATCCCACAGAAAGCCATGAAATGGAGGAACTGTCTCACCTGGTGGTTGTTGCTGTTCAGCCCTGAATCCAAAGGTCAAACAGAAAGGAGCCAAATGCAGGGTCCACAGCCAGAAGCCAAAATAGTTCAAAAGTCACATCAAGGTCTCTGGCTTCCAGCAAATCTCAGTCCAGAAAGAGAGGCCTGGCTTTCCAGGTGATGGATTGTTTTAGAATTAGATGGTGGTGCCAGTGCATATACCCTATCCAAGGAAAGCAAAGGGTAACATCGAAGGCAAACCCTCTACTAAGGTAGAGCCAAAGATGCACCCAAGGAAACAAAGGGTATAGCTTGGGTCACACTCTCTACTTAGAGTCTTAAAGATGTCCCCAAGGAAGCAAAGGGTGAGACTTGGTTCACACCCTCTACTAAAAACCACAACCCACACTCACCTCCTCAAGCCAATTCTGACTCCTGGCAAGCGCCTGGGGCACAGTAGAACTGCCTCGGGGGTGGGGGTGGGGGGGTGTCTGAGACTAGACTGCTCTCTGTTAGTAGAAAGCCTCATATTTCTCTTGGATCAGCCAAGGGTTTTGAACTGCTGACCTTGCACAAAGCAGCCCAGTGTGTAACCACTACACCACCAGGGGCTCCTCCATCTGCTAAGGTCAGGTATTCATCCCACCCTAAACCTGCCCATTAGTTTTGCAAAGAATGCTCTCCTTGATGGCAACAGGTGTACAGTGTGTTTAATGAATGATGGATTGTTTAAAGATTTGTAAGAGGCCTCCCCCTCCCAATAAAATGATTAATAAAGAAAAAAATTCCCTACAAAATGGCACTATAGCCACAGGCATATAGAGTCTGGAATAATAATATATCACATAAGGAATTATGGCTAGAAGGGTCATATTGACTATAGCTCAATATGTTGTTTTCCCGTAAATTAACTTACAGGATGTAGTTATCTTTAATGTACTTTGTAAACCCAAACTTTTGCATCTTGATTTGTGTAAGAACTTCAAAGGAAAAGATGTTAGGAATATTTTCAGGATTTTAGGATATCAGAACTAAGAAACGTAGTATAGTCTGCTTGAATACATGCAGGCAAAAAGACCAGAAATGGTACATTGTAGATGATTTCTAGTGAGTCAGAACATATAGTCCAGTTTAATTTACACGTGTGTGTGTGTGTGTGTGTTTGTGTGTGAATGTTAGTAAAATAATTGTGATCTATTTTGGAAACCATACCCAATAGTAGGAAATATCTAAGCATTTAATCTCATATCGCATTTCTGTGTTACAGTAAAATCTGCTGTTTGTTTTATCTGTAGTATTTTGCCCCTATCAGTGCATTCCCTAATAGGTACTTTCCTCTTGCCACCTTTAGGTATAAGAGACAAGAAACCAGACCTCGGTACAGCATTGGTTTAGAACAGGATGAGACTTACATTCCTCCTGGAGAATCCTTGAGAGACTTGATCGAACAGTCTCAAAGCTCAGGAAGTGGATCGGGCCTCCCTCTGCTGGTAGGAGAAGCACATACCTCAGATTGAAAGGAACTGTCTGGGGATCCCCCGTGTCTTGTGATTGGTACAGGACCCACAGGGAAGAAATTCTGAGCAGACAGGTGGCCACCAGATCGCAATTCGGGGCTTCCTGATATCATCTTGACCTTGGGGTTGGGGGAGGAGGGAGCAAGGTGATTTTCTCTTTTATTATTGAAGTGTATGGTTACAATTCAGACCCACAGCCGTTCTGATAAAGAGCAGATTAAACATCACTAAACCTGGATTCATCTACCCTCTGTTCTCGGTAAGGATTGCACGGCTTCTCTTGGGTCCAGCTTTGGAAGTGGAAAGTATTAAAAGCAACTGATATCTGAGTGCTTCTACAAAGGGAAAAGGCTATTTTCAGCCGACGGTTTATATTTCAGGGTGAAATCTTGGCTTTTCTATGCAGAAGAGGTTTACTTTTCTGATGGTTAAACCCACCAGCCTTGGTGGGGTAGGGGTGCTGGTAGGGGCCTAATCCAGGGCATTTCCCTTAATCAGAAAAGTAGAAACTTCATATACTATCCCCTGTCCCCCAAAAGAGAAAGAAATGAAATTGTTGGGATTTAGGATAGAGATGGCTTTTTAAATGAGAAAACACTATTTTCCTTAATAAACTCTTCCCATGGATTTTCTGATATTTCCTGCTTCTGATTGGGGATCTCTGACCCACTTGAGGCCTGTGCTGACCTTTTATTTTGTACTGAAAAGAACATGTTTAGGCCCAGGCAGAAAGCGACGTGCGAGCAGGCCATCCTGAGCAAACTGAATGATAGTTTTAAAAGTTTTCACTTCTTTGGTTGGTAGATTTTTTTTGTTTGTTTATTTGGTTTTTAGGTTGTTTTTTTAATCATTTTATTAGGGGCTCATACAA